CAGTGATCTAACTCAGCATAAGAAAATTCTGGCTAAGTATACAGGGGAACATGAGTAAAATGCAGCCAACAAGCTTCCCTCAGCATTTCAGAAAAGTAAAATCAAAAGACTGAATAATTCTGAAATACCTGTCTTTTACTAAGCCTCATTCCAGGACAATTCAAGGGAAAAAAGACACATTCTGCGGCTATTAATTAGCATGCACAATCATAAATATAGTGTGTTATTTTAAATCAATGTACATTATTTTTATGAATATATTGTTTTTCACTTCAATTTTTCTGATTATAGCAAGTTATTACAGTCCCTCTTGCTTTCATGCAGCCACCATTTAACAAGAGACAGCACTAATTGCTGATATATGTCCCTGATAAAACAATATCCCTGTTTGTCCCTATTTTGCATTAGAGGGTGATGTTGGGGATTTTTGTAAAAAAAAAAATGTTTGTATGTATACAAATACTTTTGATTCTTTAGGTTTTGAATCTCTTGTCAAGTTAGAAATTGAAACTACAAACCTATGCATACCCTGCCATATACATGACCATAAGTAAACATATAGGATTGTGCTGTGATTCTCTAATGAGAGGCAGGTGCATGTAATACATGTAGCATGGCCACAAAAAGGCTTCCCTCCCTTTTATTCAGGCATCTGTCTAACTAGGTAAATGGACTACCTGCTTCAGAGATCAGTCCAAGACTAGCCACTGCAGAGTAAAAGATCAGCAAGGAGAAAATTTGTGAAGTTCTTTTAGAAGGGGTGTGTATGTGCGCATCCATGCATGCATGTGTGCTTGTACACACATTTCTCTTTTCATACACACACACACTCTCTCTCTTTTGGAAGCAAATGCATATTTGAACATTATATTCGGCAATATTTCCCGTCACACACATGAATAATTTGACTAGGTCCTTTGACACAATTGTTCCTGAGCATCTTCTCTGTCCTGCTTCCAAAAGAGCTCCCTGGTATATAGCGGAGCTCCAATGTATGTAGCAAGAAGGAAAATGACTACAGTGACAGTGGTGGAAATCTAGACTCATCTCTGACAAAACACTTTATAGAAAGCATCTTCACTCCTACAGGGTGGCGATACGAGGAGGATTTCTTCTCTGCTCGTATTGCACCTGCAAATTCAGGTCCAGCAGAGCCATTTAGGGTGGTAAGGGGTTTGTCTCAAGCCCCGCTGCCTCTTAACCTGTCTTTAGCAACATCAGTTGCTCATTGTGGTGCTTTTAACCACCATTTTTCAGATAAAATATCTTGGATAAAAACCAAGCTTGATGTAATCAAGGAGCTGGGGATCATCACAGAGGTGTCCATGAATGGGGCTATCTTGGATCAATTTACATTTGTAAGTCCTGATGATGTTTACAGGCTTCTTAGACAGGTGAGAAAAACCACCTGCTCTCTTAATCCATGCCCATCTTGACTGGTAGTCCAGTGGGTGGACGCACTGAGTTAGCTGTTATGCCTTATCATCAATGCTTCCTTCAGAAAGGGTAAGGTTCCTGTCTGCCTGAAGGAAGCTATTGTGTGGCCGCTCTTCAAGAAACCTAACTTGAACCCCCTGGGCATTACAACTGTAGACCAGTCTCAAATATGCCATTTCTTTGTAAGGTGATTGAGTGTCTCTCCAGCTCCAGGCACTTCTGAGTGATACTGTTCTGGATCCATTTCAAACTTTCTTCAGAGCTGGACATGCAGTTGAAACTGCTTTGCTCACTCTGGTAGAGGATATAGGACTCAGAATGTTGTCAATTTTAATCAATCTTGGTTAAATTTCTTTTAAACCACCCAGAACTTACGGAAATGAGATTGTATATAAATATTAAAATAAATAACACAAATGAAATAATATATGTGTTTTTTCTGCATTTCTGATTAGACAATTGCAGCATAAAATCTGGTCAAATGTGAATAATCAATAATTATTACTTTGGTTCAGGTTATGGTTCAAGAGCTGTGAATTATGTAGCTTTGCATCTACATGAAAAGCCAACAAATCACTAGAGAAAAGTGCACACAAGAAAGTGCACACATTTAATTATCTCCGATTAAATGTTGAAGATAGTGGTGTTGCCTGAAAATGATTACCTCTCACTTCGGTTTAGATGCTGGTATAAATCAGTGCTGAAGCATGTAAAGCTTTCACAACACCACCTGAAGATCTACAGCATTTTCCTACACTGTCATCAAAATGGGAATGTCCTTTATAGGTCACAAAGGCTGATATTTTAATAGGAAGAAAATACTGGAATATCAGAGAAGCAGTGTCATAATCCATAGTTGCTGATACAGATGATTCAGTCCGTATTTTGAAATACACCCACAAAATATCAATAAATAAGTAAAAGCTCTCTCCTCTGATGTACCGCAAAATACTGCTGTCATTGCAGGATGTTTTTATAGCACAAAATTAGTCACAGAAAGTAATCAAGAAAGTCTTACATAAAGTACAGACACTAATGTGACACTATTGCATTATATGCACTCTATATATTTTCATATTTGACAAATGTTTATACAGCCATGACTATAATTTTATTCCTCCATTTTCAGATTTTCATGCCATTGAATAAATTGCAGCAGAAAGAAGCAGATGGAAAAAGCAGTCAAATTAATTTTACACATATTATAACGGTACCAAACTTTGTCAAAATATCTATTAGGTAAAATAAGATTATATATAATATTATTAACATATGCATGGCAAACACACATTGACCAATGATCAGTTGCTCTATATTATAGGCCTTCTGGGTTTAAGGGATCTCTATTCCAACTGGTCACATAAAACTAGTTTACTAGTAATATACTGTACAGAAAAAGGTTATTAAATTGCAACAGTATTCTGGATTAGTTAGAATTAAAATTGGGGAAGTGGATCTCAAGTAGGGATTAGAGAACCAGTGATATTTATGCTCGCCTAACTTTTCTAAAAGTCACTCCAAAGCTTGTTTCAGTTTAATCTCATTTTTAACTTTGACTAGGTTTTCAGGTCATTCAATCAGGAAGTGCATGCACATTTTTAACAGGAAAATGTGTATTTTTTTCCCTCATTAACTAAAGCATGAAAATGTGGAACTATTTTAAATACCAGTTTTTCATATTTGGAGATTGGAGAACATTTCTTGAAAAAAGTACTCATGTATACATTTGGAATTGCAAATGGCACATATTCAAATAATTCACAATTTGAAATAAATCTGTGTACATTTCTAGTCTCAATAAAAATACATAGGCTTGCATAACTGCCCTCTGAATTCTGTTGCTTTTGAGGTATGTACAGCTGTTCTATTCATTTCTATTAAAGAACAAATATGATATAAATTAACTTATTCAGAATACTCTTTTATGCATTTGTTTCATTCCAAACTTGTTAGTTTATTATGGTTTTGCCAACTGCAGACAGGTCAATTTAAATCACAGGGAGAGCAAGGGAAGTTTAACTTAAATGCATTTTAGGAAAAAATGTCAAATAATTCAAAATATTTTCAATTCTTACAGTACTTAGCCTTTTCAATCTATTCTATTGTGTTTCTTCTGTATTAATCCCACAAGCCAATATATTTCCAATCAGCTTACATTTTCAGTTGTGGTTATCTAGTCTGAGCATTTTATGAGTGAATGCTATGCTAACTTAGTGCTTGAATGTATCACATGGCCATCTCTCCCTTGGAAACTTTCTGTTAGCACAGGAGATATTTAGATAGGTGGAGAGTAGAGGGAAGCATTCAGCACAGTAGGTAAAAACCAACACCAGGGTAAACAGGGCTCTGCATGGCAGCTATTTGGACAAATTAATGCCTGCCAAAGCTCTATCTCTTGGGCTAGCAGAAGCACATATGTGACCAAGTTTCCTTCTGCACAGAAATCTAGGCCTCCACATCATGCATTCAGACAAAATGGGTGCCACCTGCACCCATCTTCCTTGGTCTTTGTATTATGTATTATGCAACTTATGTTTCAGTTATTACACACGTTTTCCTTCTGCAATTTGCTTTGCAGAAGGAAAAAGAAAGGAAAGAAGAAAAGCAACTGACTTTGCTTTTTTTTATTAAAAATATTCTCGTTAAGATGCAGGACTCTGGTGTTATTCTTGGTCATTAAATATTCTAGCACTTAGGCCATTCCTGTTTTATTGTTTTGGTTTTTTCCAATACCAAAGACTGAGGGCCAAAACATATTTTATATGTGTATATGTACATCTTGTATTAAGAGAAAACCTTAGGTATGGGATGGTTGTTGTTGTTTGTTGTTGTTAGTTGCAAAGTTGTGCCCAACCCACCGTGACCCCATGGACAACATTCCTCCAGGCCTCCCTGTCCTCTACCATCCCCCGGAGTCCACTTAAGCTCACACCAACTGCTTCAGTGACTCCATCTAGCCACCTCATCCTCTGCTGTCCCCTTCTTCTTTTGCCATCTATTGTTCCCAGCATTAGGCTCTTCTCCAGGGAGTCCTTCCTTCTCATTAGGTGGCCAAAATATTTGAATTTCAATGGGGTGGTATAGAAGCTAAATAAACAAATAAATTTTAAGTAGGGTATGTGCACAGCCTTTGATCTGTACTGGGACCCTAGAACAGGGAGTAGGAAGCCTTAAAATCTGGATCAGATATGGCACACACACTATAGAGTAAATATTAAAAGAAGTCATAGCTGCTATACACATTTAAAACAAGTTTGGTTTAGTCCTGCAGTACTGCCTAAGCAGAGTAGCTAAAGAGAAAGGATTTCATAAAAACTAATATTTTAGTAGTGGCAGTAAAAACCTAGGGAATTGCAACTTTTAAATATGTAATTTATAAATTTAAATAAATATGTAATTTATTGATTACATATCCAATTACCAGCTGAGCATGAGTAGTATTATCTTCAGATATGTAGTTCTTGTTCAGAGGAATTACACAACAGTAACAGTAGGGGAAGTGCAAAACTCAGACCAGGAACATGAGGGCTGCTAAAGTAACAAGATTTTCCTCCTCCTTTTACCTGTAAATAGCGCTGTCCTGTTTGCTGATTATGGCTTTTAAATCCGTGAGTTGAAGAAAACGGTCATGGAAGTAATGCAGGTGCAATATGCACACTAACAGAAAGGAGGTTGGAATAAAGATGCGGGTAAACAAATCTGCAACAGAAAATTGCTCTAAGCCAAGATCCTTTAGTCTGAAATAAAAAAGAATACAAATGACAGCTGACTTAGCTGATCAAAATTCATTGCACAAAGTTTTAGATCTGTGAAAAAGCACATTCTCTTCTGGTTGGAAAACAAATAGTGTGACTGTGTTGTTAAAGAATATTAAATTCTGGAGTTATTAATTAAGTCCCCACAGTGCAGTCTGGTCATATATTTAGACCTTGTAAGGAACACCTTTCTTAAAATTCACAATGAAACATCTTGTGTTTTGACTGTGTGTGTTCTTTTTTTTAAAGTAACAGATGAATTTGAGCATTTATAGAAGTTATCCAGAGACCACTCTTTGTTTGCCACAGCAGGCAGATGGTATGTATGTGTGTATATATTTAAAGTATTTACAGGCTGTCCAATAACAAAGATTCTCCAGGTAGCTTAAAATGTATCACAAAAATTAAGAATAATGATATAAAAATGTAATAAAAACAAACAAACAGCAAGTAAGAACGAATCACTTAAATAAGAGAGGAATAAAATCCACAGAACTAAGTCCCACAACAGTTTAAATGGCCTGAAAAAATAAGGTTTTTGCTCACCACTGAAAGCACATTAAATCAGTTACCAGGCAGGTCTCTCTAGCTAGGGTAGCCTACCCCTAATCTGGTACCCTCCAGATAGATGTTGAGAATTTCAGTCCAAACCAAGTCCATGAAGGAGAAGGAAAGGGCTACCACTCAGAAACCTCTATTTTGTGAAGAACTAATAATACCATCATTCATTTGTTCAGGTAAAAGAAGAGCCAATTAACAGAAAATACTCACTGTTCATCATTCATTCCGGTCATGTTTTTCCACAGTGTAGGAAATGATTTAAACTGATAAGTATAGATGAAAACAAGCACTAGCATAGTGTAAAACACCACTGACATCCAAAAATATTTTAGAATTTTCCGCCACCATTCATAGTGCACCTGGGAACCAGAAATTAAAATATTATCTTTTAATTCACTTCATAAACTTTTTGCAAGCCCCAAAATTGCTTCCATTTTGATTCAAATGGGGCATGGCTATTTTAACAATTTTTCTAAGCACGTCTGATGCATCCATTTGTCAGGTTGCACTGAACTGGCTTTTGCTATGGTTTTTGAAAGATGTGGATAAGATTACTGAAGAGCCGCGGTTGGCATTTTGCTGTGCCAGAGAATAAATGTTAGCTGAAGAAACTGGGGTCATTAACTTCAATACAAAATATAGTACCAATAACATTGTAGAGACAAACTACATTTTGTTTGTTCGATAAGATAGCCCAATTACATGCTGCAAATCTGAAAAGGTACTTTTAGAAGTTCCTGTTAAAGGTGCGGAATATTAAATTTGGACCAGAAACATCTTCACTGAATGTATTGATGATCTATGTATAGCTGTTAAAACTTCACTCTAGGAATACCAGCGGAGACCAGGTTCATGTCCAGAAAGGAGAGATTAACAAGCCTTCAAATTCTCTTGAGCTTGGGCAAACCCAAGAAAAGCACCTTGCTTCCATCCTGTTTATGGAAAAATCAGTGGAGTTGTAAAAATTCCTATCAAAAACAATGCAAGTGAAATTCTCACTTATCTGATTAGACATACTCAGAACACTGCATGTGATGAGGACTGTCCTACCCTTCAAGAATTAACCTAAGAGGTACTGTTACAGCTTTTCCACAGTCATATTTAATTTGTGTCTGTGGTCACTGGGAGAGACTTCCAATTGCTCTGGAATGCTATCTGCACGCTGATGATAGCAAACTCTTATTTTTCCCTAAAATCAAATCTATTAGCACTGATAATGCTCTGGACTAATATCTGAATATGGCAAACAGATATGGGGTTGTAACCATCTAAGAGAGAATTGATTATGATTGTTAGTATGTGGGGCACCAGAATTACTTGCCCTAGAGGGAATTACACTTTTCCTTAAGTAACAGAACTTCAGTGAGCACGTACTCCAGCATATGCCTTTTCCACTTGATTCACAGATTAGCCAGATTAACCAGAATGACACCAACCTTCGATGGTTCTAGACTACCAGAATCCTGAGGCAATCCTTCATTTCTGACATGGGCAAGCTCACCCCTCCTGCCTTTAGGCCAGTCAAATTCCCACCCAACCCTGCGGCCTTCTCTCCAGTCTGGGTAATAGGCACCGCCACCCCTGTGTCTTCCCTGCTCCTTCTTGTAATTCAAGCTAGGGCCGCTGACACCGCCACTGCTACTCCGACAGACGGCGGCCACCGCAGGACCGGGGACGCTGCTAGCCTGTGGCTCCTCCACCTGTGCTGGAGAGTTCTCTGTGGGCCAAGCCTTTGTCCCCCCTCCCCCCCGGTGTGGGTGGCAGCTTTTTTGTATTTATACATGGGATTTTAATGATTGTAAGCCGCCCCGAGGCAGCATATAAGCTGTCTAAATAAATAATACAGAACAGATATGCTCCATTTGCCTGAGTCTCCCATGCAAATATGCTGTGGTATTCTGTAGCAGATTAAGTTTCCAAACCATCTTTAAAAGCTGTTCCAAGTGTGTATACAACACACACACACACACACATTCCGTATATTATATCCTAAGAACATTAACACACAGAAGTGCCCCATAAGACACTGTTTATAAGTCAATCTTCCTTGGAATTTTGCCTAACAGATCACATGCACATATGGGTTAATTTTTATGATCCCACCGATTAGGATGCACATGTAATTCCACTGAATCCACTGTATTTTTATGGTGGCACTTCCAGATTGTATAGCTGTTATCATTTCAGTATTAAGCAGCTAGCAGAAGGTGATCTCTGAGCAGGAGAAGCCATCAGAAGACAAGTCTTCTTGCCACGAAGTGACCAGAAGAGCATCCACGAGGCAGCATTCACAGGGTTCAACCTGGTGCTCTCCAGACTATAATTCCCATTAGCCCCAGCCAACATGAGCAAGTATCAAGGGTGGAAGTAGTCCAAAACATCTGGAGGGTACCTGGCAGCTCTATGATAACCAGCAAACGCTAGATCTTGCTCCCGTATCAGAGCAGATGCTTGTCTGGAAACCGACACTTGGGAAGTGTGCGCTTGCTGAGCCAACCAACAGGTTTGGTGAGACACTGACTCTTATTGTGCTAAGAGAAATGTGCTACATTGCTTCATTCTGCATCGTTATAACATCCCAGCTCTATACTACAGGGTTTCTTTTATTTCTAGCCAATTTCTTTCTTAGAATGGCAGTATCAATTTGACAAACTATAATATGGTAAACTGTATAAAGCTAAAACCTGTAATGAAACATAAACATATCTAGTTATACCAATATACAATGAACACAGTTGTAGGAAATTGGATTTTGTATTACTTACCTGATACAGGACTACACAGAACAAGAACAGCATCATATAGATGATCTTGTACATGACAATTTTCCCCTCAAAGCTGACAAAGAAGAACATTCCTCCACAGACATAAATCCAGTACTTTACGAACATAGCCATCACCAGATTTCCTAGAACTTTCATTACATCTTCTTCTTCTTCTTCCTCAGGTTCCTTTTCCTCCTCCTCATCTTCCTCCTCCTCCTCCTCTTTTTGGGATACCTCTTCATCATCTGGTGATTCCTCTTCTGCAAATACAAAATGCAAGTTAGTTTAACTTTGCTCAGTACATAAAGTGGTACCTCAGCTCACAAACTCAATCCATTCTATGACTCTGGTCCCGACCCAAATTGGTCATGAGCCAAGTCAAATTTCCCCATAAGGTTCAATGTAAATAAGATTAATCCATTCTGTAAATATTTTTTTTAATCACAGAAAAGACAGGCACGATCACAGGCATGCTGGTGGGGGGAGACAGGCACGATTGTTGTCACGCTCGTGCAGGAAAGATGGATGTGATCTCAGCCATCTCCCCATCCCCCCAGCATAATCGCAGCCATCTTCCCACTCTCCCGAGTACAACCGTGATCACTCCTGTCTTCCCAGCACAAGCGTGACCACGATCGTGGCCATCTCCCCACTCAGGGGGGGTGGAACCTCACCCAATGCGGAGTTCGCGACCTGAGTCAAAATTTTTATGAAATTTTTGTGTGCAACCCGATTTGGTCGTGAACTGAGGGGTTCACGAGCCGAGGTACCACTGTATTACATTGTATTCCAGTATTGGTAACCTGCCCTCTCCCTGTATTTGATTGTGCATCTGATTCTTCCTACCTGAATGCAGTATTTATCACAATGAATTAATTGTCTTTTACTCAGTGAGAGCGTCTTGAATTCTTTTTCAGTCTTTATTAACTACCTCTCCAAGGTGGTGTCTTTTGTAAATTTGCTTAGCAACCCACTTAGTTCTTCATTAGAGCCTTTGTAGGCAACAGTAGGCCCAGTTCCAAACCAAAAGGCATTGCACTTCTTGCTTCTTTCCAGGATGACGATGAGCCAGTGATGAGCACTCTTTGAGTGCAATTCTTCAACCAACATCAAATCTACCTAACAGCAGCAGAACTAGAAGCATTAACATCTGAATTAAGTTGAAGTGTGTATTCACCTTTTTCTTCACTCTCTTCAGCTCCAACTTTGACCTCTGATAAAACAACTTCCTTTAATTGCAAAGCTTTTCGTTCAGTGAGGTGCTGCCTAAGCAGTAGCCAGAAAGTAATTGCAAAAAGAATCTAAACAGGAATTGAAACACAACAGGCAAAGTTTAGGGTTACTATTTAATTTTCACAAACCGATAGAACTATGTCTTATCTTTAGTGATGAGTAACATGGCGCATGATGGAAATAATTCAGGGTAACTGGATTATGTTACTTAACATTTCCCAAACATCTGCCAACATACAAATGGGCTATGTATGGATATGGTCCTAAAGATCTCCCACTGCTAAGTGTTTGTATTCATTTTGCATATAAATGAATAAATAAATGCTGGGATATAAATGGAATGCTATAGTAGTACTAGTAATTTGAATGGAGTGAATATATATACTCTGCTCATTCAATTTCTCACAAGACAAAATGTCATACACACAAATGACTCTTGAACAAACAGGAGCAGTGCCAGGTTTGAAGAGGCCTTGGACAAAAAAACAAAAAGTGTGTTGTTTGTTGGTATGTTGTTGTTGGTGGTGTTTGTGTTGCTGTTTTTTTGTAAGTGATCCAGATATTCTGGTATTGAATGGCATATAAAACATTAAATAAAGTATCTTCCACACATACTCTGGGCAGCTAAACCTTCTTTCCATCCATGTGCACTGGTTTCATTGCTTGCTTTTTTGCTGTACCTCCCCCAGTCCAGCTCTCAAATTGTACAAGGGAACAGACAAGTCTATTTTTCTATATGGGAACTTTGCTACCTTACATAGCTAAAAACTTCTTGGTGGGGGGCGGGGGGGGGAGAGGGGAACCTTAAATGGATTGTTGGTGCAGATCTGTAAAACTTGCATTTGTGGATCCTGCCGCAACACCAGCTATACTTGCCAAGCTTTGTTCCACTCTTTTGGTAAGGTTCTTCCTTTAAGTTACAATCATTGAAAGAAATTTGGTATTTTTAAAGACTGGAAAGGCATGTGCAACATGCAACATTTATACACACAAACGGTGGCGAGGAGCGCTTTCTTTCAGCTTCGGCTGATCCATCAGCTGTGCCCCTACCTGGAGTACGACTGCCTGGCGACAGTGACACATGCGTTAGTGACTTCCTGCCTTGACTTCTGTAACGTGCTCTACGTGGGGCTACCCTTGAAGACGGTCCGGATACTTCAATTGGTTCAAAATAGAGCTGCCAGGCTGCTGACGGGGACTGGGCGTTATGTTCACATGACTCCAATCCTCCGTCAGCTTCACTGGCTTCCCATTGAAGTCCGGACCCAATTCAAGGTGTTGGTGATGACCTATAAAGCCCTAAACGGCTTGGGTCCTGGTTACCTGAAGGAGCGCTTACATCCATATATGCCCGCCCACCCCCTGAGATCAGTGGGAGAGGCCCTTCTCCAGGAACCCTCCGTGAAGGAAATTAGGAGGGTAAGTACTCAGAGGAGGGCTTTCTCTGCGGTGGCGCCCAATCTATGGAATGCTATTGTGAGCTGGAGAAGGTGCAAGAAAGAGTGAGGCTACATCATTTGATACTTCATAGACTGGGAAATGGCAATGAAGCAGGACATGACATGGCCTTATAAAGTTATGCATGATGTGAAGAGAGCAGATACATTTTCTTCCATCATTTATCTTATGAAAACTCATTCAGTGAAGCAGGGGCTGTAGATCTAGAACAGATAAAGAACTGGCACACAAAGTATCATGATTGTATTGTATTTATATTCCACTTTTTTTTCTTTGAAGGAACCCAACACAGTATACATAAGCCCTCCTGCTTTCCATTTTTTCCTCACAACAAACTGTAAGGCTGTAGGTTAGGGTGAGAGGGACCTGACTGGTCCAAAGTCACCCAGGGACCTTCAAGGCCATGTGGGGACTAGAATCCAGATTTCCCAGGATTCTAGTCCAATACTCTAAGCACCACACCACACTGGTTGTCACAGATGGCATCACTGTCACAAGATGTGGTGAGAGTCACTGGCTGAGATGGATTTAAATTGGGAACAATGGCTATTCATTATGATGGCTATCAAATCAAAGACAGAATACCCCTATATTCCAGTTATGGGGATCAACCATAGCAGTGGCCTCTTTACATTAAAACTGGCCTCTTTACTTTAAAACTCTGATTACGGGCTTTCTGGTTGTATCTGGTTTCCCTTTTTGCCAACAGTGTGCAATGAATGCATTAGCATCATCCTTTTTACTTGTGATCTTTACTTCCTATTACATAACAGCTAAAGAAGAAAAGCAGAGTTGGACTCTTTGTTTTTCGAAGGAATGCATAATTTGGCATGGACTTCCTGAGCCCAAAATTCTTCCCTAAAAGACATCTGAGAACATGAGACCTCTTTCTCTCCAAAGTGACTTTGCAGGATGGTCATACTTGCTTTGTATTAGGAATTACAAAGAAAATATTTGGTTTGCATATTCACACGAACAAATCTAATTAATACTTCCCAAACTAATACAGGAACAAGAATGCAATTATCCTTCAGTTTTTGAACTTTTCCAAGTTTTATAGTGTAGTTCCCCAATAAAAATGCATACAGAAAACATACACATATTTTTACATTTTGGAAAATAGCATGTATAAAAGGTATCTATTTGGGGAAATGACTTGTAAGAATGCAATCTTAGGATGGTCAGACACAAAAATGCACACAAATTTTATGTGTACAAAAATAAATACCATTTGTCACACATACTTAAAAAAAGTCCCCACAATTTGATGCAGATATGTGATAGAACTAAATCAAGCACAAATGTTAGAGAAAGTGGAACTGAGATTCATGCATTCCTACTTTTTACACATAGAAATTTGTTAATGTATTTTCTTTTTAAAATATTCAGAATAATTTATTTTGAATCAATAGTCAATAGCAAAGATGTTAACCAAAGGTCTCATGGAATTCACCTTCAAAGCAGGTACTCATATCAATACTGCTGTTCTCCTTTCTGAAAGGGAAAGATAAGCACACTTTCCCTAAGACTGGATCTCATTTCTATTTCCCTTTTCTCTTTTATATATTCTAATGCCTACACTGGATGTTTGCATTTTTAAAATATCCCAAAAGAGCCATGCCTTCTATAAAGAGACTCATTTCATGTTTGGTAGCACACATTTTGAAAACACAATAAAGGAAAATATGTTCAAAATGAAAAATATGATCCATTTATCTGCCTTTTCCTATTGAAGGCAAACTTAAATGTTGCTTGAATCCACATAGCATCTTTTACCCAGTGGAATACACCCTCCATCATTACAGTGTGTACATATAATTCTTTTGTTCATACTATAATTTAATATTCCTGATAGTTGTTAGTTTCAGATAAGACATTTTACAAAGCACCTTGGTTTACAGCAAAGTTGCTGGCAATATACAAAAGCAGTTAAATCCTTTGAGAGATATTTATAACATCAATGATAGAAAGCATACAATATATCTAACAGAACCTCTGGACCATTTAATCTGTTTTAAGAACGCTAATGCTACCTTTGAGAGTACATAATATAATGTTTGCTCATTTTCACATTCATTATGAATTAAGGAGTAGCCAGCAGGGAGTAAGCAGTAGGGAATTCACTGTGAGAGAGAATCTAGTGCATCATAATGAAGGTGCTTAGGCCAGTGAAACAAAAGAAAAATACAATACACATTTCTTTTATGGGATCCAGGAAGTAAGTTCAGTTACTCTGTGCCAACAATCCATTGGAAAAGATCCTGCTAAATGTAATTAATAAGACAAAAGAATGTTCTTGGCTTTCCCCAAAAGTTGCTCCTTAAGGGTCAGATAACCCTCAATCAGAAGTGAAAATTATCAGATATGCCAGTACCAGAATGATTTAAGCATACACACTCACATAAATGTCTTTTAGATGTCATAGGTTGGATCTTTCTCTTTTAAATTCCCCCTCTCATTAGGACTACTCCTGCTTGAATCTGTATGAACTGAAGACCCCATGGAAGAATATCACTTAACTTTGTAAAACATTACTTACTTTTGATGCTAATTCTGTAGGAGCTTTCCGTTCTAGAAATCCTGAAACCTGAGGAAGTTCATCATCGTTCAGTTCAATGCTCCATATATATTGTAATGTTAATAACAGGTTTCCATAAGTCACCATAAAAGGTGAACTGATCATAGCGTATTTCCTTCGGTCACGCAGCATCCAAAGTATACATGACCATATCAGCATCACAAAGGTTAACCAACTGTGGTAAGTAATACTCCAGGCCTCAAAAAATAATCAAAAAGAAGAGTAGCGGTCATTACAACAATAACTTAGTTGATGAGTCAGAACAGTATATGGCATTTTAGCCATTTAAGGCCAATGGCAGTTTGTTTGTTTATTGGATTTTTATCCTGCCCCCCCCCCTTATCCGTATCCCTTGTGAGAGATCATACGAGCTGTCACTAGCTGTAGGAATGATACCACAAAACTTGTTGAAAACTTTTTGTGGGTGGGTGGGGGGATTTTGCTTAAAGCATCAAAATCATCAAATTCATCAAATTCATTTTTTCTTGATTTTTCATCAGCAGAAATTTTACATTAGGTATCTCATAATTCAGCAGTGATGGGTAAAGTTCAAAGCTAACAGATGCACGTACAGCAAATAACATCTAATACCATTCATCTCAACAAGAAAGATTCTTTCTCAAAATGCTAATTTGTTTTCTCAGCTTTTATGATCTAATTATACCAGCATAGTTTTCTGCTAATCCCAACATGCAATGGATCTACATATTGGATAAAACATGCAAGTGATACTGAGTTCACATATAGACAACTGTTTAAAAACTTCTTTTTTAAAAACTTCTGATTTTAAAGAGGAATGGTCATGAGTTACAAGGCTTGTATCTGTGGTCAGAAAATAATATTGTCCTTGACAACTTTCCTATGACTTTGAAATGAAACATAAAAGTGTTTGAACATGTGAATTCAAGTTTAAAAATTGGTTGGATTTTTTGAACAGCATACTTTGGCTTTTCACAACAAATTTAATCCCTTGTACTTCCTACTACCACAATAAGAAACATAAGCTGAGCATAGCACTATTTATAAACTACATCAGATAAAAGCTGGATTCGTACAACATGGCAGCCCCCATTATACATTGAGGAAGGTTTATTGTTGAATCGTTCATTGTTGTGTTGTGTGAACCTAGCCAGGTTTGTTCATTATAAACAACCCACAAAAAGAATCCATGGTTTGTTGCTGGATTGTGAACTTACGAGCTGTTCGTAGGTTGTTCGTGGTTAGGGTTTGTTATAGCACACAGCGACCTGGGTTTGCACAATACAAGAGCCCATGTCGCAAAAGCAACCCTTGAGTAGGCTATGTGAATCCAGTCAATGATACACTATATTGCCAATAATTCGGGTTCTAGACCCTGTGCTACAATATTCTAAGGGACCCTAGAGAAGAGGTGCAGCATAATATGAGGATAAGTTTCATTAGTTAAGCATGCTAGCTTGTGATGCTAGTCAGAGATGATACATTTGAACTACAAGAACATGTCACTCCCTTGAACACACACACGGGTATCATTTTATGCTGAACCTCCTGCAAACAGGTTATTTAACCTACCATCATGGCAATCAAAGCACACACATAACTTTGTTTCATGATAAAATGAAAAACTGTGACCATTGCATGAACTTTAGAATTTTTTTCTTCTTCAATATTTTCTTCCTCCTCTTCCTCCTCCTCTTCTTCCTCCTCTTTCTTTTCTAAGAAAATAAAAATAATCATATGAATTGCAAAATCCAGCAAATACTATGCTGGATCTAATGGCTTCTTGTTCATCTTTTGTTAACAGGGCCGCTTTCTGTTCATGGAAAAGAACCTTTGAGTGGAAACCATGAGTTCTTCATGAAGTTTTACATTAGAACACAGAGATCGCTTATTTCCAGTCTGTACATATTCACTGTTACTCCAATTCCTTCCCATTTCTGCAATAATTTGCAAATGTTTAAATATTTAAAATATGCATGAATTTTCCTATTTGTGCGTTTAGCACATTTTCTCTCAGGTACACATTTACAAACTACTTTATCCTAAAATATGTATTTTATATTCATTTTGGTACTTCTGAAATAAGAACTGCATCAAAAATGCTTAGAAAGGTATGGGATCCAAAGAATAACCACATTCTGATCCATATATTAAATGTGGGTGGGTGGACCTGGAAATTCAGGTCAAATTGTAGTCCTATGTTGCTTTCAAAAAAAAAAAAAAAGTATAACATATTATTTATTTGTAAGTACACAGCTACCTTCGGTCCTATCAGATACAAATGAGTACCAGAGCTATTGGGCCAGTAGCTGTATCATTACTATCTGTATTTCAGGATAGCAAACACTCAGGCATCTTTGCTATATGGAAATTCACTGGACTGGAAATAGGCAGTAACTTCAAAATAGTGTTAAAGTGGTAATTACTGCAAGAATCAGGATAATGCTAGCTATTTGCTACATTGCACTTGCCTTTGTAAGCATATCCATATTTTGTTCTTTCTTGATTGGAAAAGCTGAACTCAATTATAAATTCATTGCAGTTGCACATTAAAACCTTGCAGAGTATCATAATATCCTTCTATGCCAAGAAACTCAAGAAAACGAAACAAACATTCAGTGCGCAATCAGTGCTTAAGACCTTCTCAATGGGGGGAGTTAGAAGGGTTATGGGCAAGAGCAGGGCATTTTCAGTCACAGCCCCAAGGAAATGGGCCAGAGAATGTATAAGAAGAGCTTAGGCAGACATCATGGGCCTGGCTTTATGCTCTGTTTTTAAGCAACATGCGGCTGGTTTGTCTGTTTTTCATGGTGCTTTAGGCTGTTTTTTTAAAATCTTAACTAAACACTTTAGCTATATTTATGCAAGTGAACAGAAAGCCTGCCACATACTTTTAGAAAAAGAGCTGATATGGGATGGATGGATGGATGGATGGATGGATGGATACATAAAAAGAATTCCCAAGAAGTTGTTGCTACTACCTGAGTCATCAACTGATGGGTCCCATTTGTACTGTGGTCTGGAGTACATATCTGCCTTGGCAGGCCCATTCTCTATGGGACGCAAAGAATGTTTGTTGCGATAATCAAAATCAACAGGTGTACCATTCACAGTCACCAAGAGGACCTGTTGAGTAAGAATTAGAGAAAGGGAATCCTTTTAAAACATATGTTGTATTAGAGCAATCACTTCTATTACTTTTCTTATTAAAAGTATCAGTGATGCCTCAATTATGAATTTCCTTACAATTTTTTTTAAAAAATCACAAGCTCAGGATGGAATAAGTGTGCCATCAAAAAACCAAACTATTTTAGCAGACCAAGTCTGAAAGATCTGGCTTAAACACCCTTAATTATACTTTTTGTTTCAAAGTTTGTGCTGTGGTCGGGTGCATAGTAAGCTATACAAAAAATAATCAAAAGTCAAGGAGCCTCCTTGTGCTTATTCAATGGCCAGATGCAAAATATTATTTCATTTGTTTCAACCCATCCTGGACCCAGCCTCTCAGCCATCAAACTGAAACTCTTTGTTCAAAGAGTAGGCAAACGTGGTTCATTCTTTCTGCTTGAGCAGTTCTCACCTTGGTGCGTCTCAGCAGGGAATATAAACCTAGGATCAGGGTCTGTTTGAATACAATTTCTCTGGCCTGGTGCACCCCCCCCCCCCGCATTTCCAGGGCCAGAATTCGTCACTCTCCTGTTCATTTGGCCAAACCTCATTTAGTTCATATATCCAGAAAAAGAGAAAGAGTGCATGCACAAGCCCTTAACCCTGTGAAAAAGCACCCCAATGAGTTTAGGGCTGCGTTCCATGCATAACACAGCCTGCTAGCATTATTCTGCCTGGTAATGGCCCACAACTGGCATGAGTTGCTGGTTCTGCATCTCAGAGTATGGAATTAGTTCCACAGAAAGCGTAGAATCTGTTTTCAACCTCATCTGCGGTGGCTGTGGGGTTCCTAATGACAACATAGCCTCCATTTGATCTCCCCGTCCTTATTCACTAGAAACCTTTCTTTCAGACATCTGTGGAGAATGTGGCACAATCTTCATCCACAAGGCTAGAGCAACTTGAGGTCATTGCAGAATTTTTGCAATATGGAACAAAGGTGAGAAATCCAATGATAGTCTGTGGCCCACAGGATTTCTAAATTCCGTAGTTCCTTGCCCTCCCAAATCAAGTAATTTCAGTTGTTCCTGCTTTACTTCCTTTCCTTTCCATTTCTGCCTCCTATGACTCACCATTTTCACCAAGCTTGGGCTACTTTGGTCATATAACTGCTTTGCCATTTTCATGGTGTCATCTTTCTTATCTGGCTAAGATTATTTGGTAAATATTAATTATCTATCTTTATCTTTTTTAATATCTTTCCAAGGTGGGCCTACTAGAACTGATTTACCACTTGCTGTAGTATGGGGTGTGTACAGTAATCAAGACTTATCAATGTGTATGTGTGTGTTTTTGAAAACAAAAATCTGTAGAAAATAAACTTCATGGCCACAATTAGTATTTGAACCAAGTTCCCTGTATAAGAAGTAGCTATGCCTCATGTTAGGAGGGTGCAGTGGATAAGTCTATTATGTATACAACATACCTCTGGTCTAAGGTCCCCTAGAATCCCACCGGGCACAACCTATGCATACATGGCAGTGACATGACTGTGGGGATGAGGATACACAGCAACACAAGGTGGTGTATAATTTATAAAATGATTTGCCGTACTAAGAACATTTAAATGGAAATAAATTCCCCTGCAAACAGTGAAATCTGTTCTTCTAAGGAATTCTGCTTTGTGGACTAAAAGAAGGAAGAGTTATTTGCCCAGAGCATCAGCAGCAGTCAAGAACAGAGCAAGAATAAAATGTATTTCCTCCTGAGTCCCTTCATTATGCCTAGATATAACCAAAACCCACTGTCCAAATTCAATGCAAGGATGAGACCATGTACTAACATCAGGTGGCTTGTGTTCCTCTTGAGTCATTGTCAGAAGCTGCAAAGCAAGGCAAGAAGAATTTATTAGCTGAGCAGTATAGCTGAAGCTTAATCTATTCTTAAGAGTGTTAGGTTTTAGCCTGAAAGCTGACCACTTGCTCTGAGGAAAGTGCTAATTACTGCATGCATGTATACCAGGCACATAAGCTGGAAAGATGCAGGCCTGCAGCAGATGGGTAACCACATGTGGAACTGGAGCAAAGGGCTGGAGTTGGTAGCCTTGTCAGTCCCTCCCACCTCTACTTATATTCTATTCCATTATTTTCTATATTGTATGATTATATTATTGATTGGCATTGCACAATAACTACATGCATCTAAATGACAAACAACAAAACAAATAAAGTTACTGTTAGCAAAAATAGTTCTAGCTAAGGGTTTTAAGAAGGAAATCACTAGGGCAGTATCCAATGGTGCTGTTCTGCAAACTTAAATCACACTAGCAAAATGCCACTGAATCTTTCTATTGTACAAGTGTTAATGCATTGTGTTACACACTGTGTGGAACCTAGTTTCCACTATTGGAACTACTGACTACTGGACCAACACAGTTGCATTCTGCCACATGATAGTAACTCCTTCTGTGACTTCCCTTCTATTCCAAGGGACTTTCTGAAATAGACTGGTGAGAATTTCTGTTCAAAGAAAAGAAGTCAAAAGTCCCACTAGATGCACACAAGCTCACCTATACTACAGCATTTAAGTTGATAGGCAATGAATTTGAAAATCTAGCTTCATGAGTACAGTTAAAATGCTAAAATATTGAATAGCACTGTTTTACTGCAAGAAAAACTGCCAAACCATATTTAACTTTTTCAAAACTCACAGCAACACTTAGTCTTCTGTTATGCTTTTGAACAGCAGAACAGACTCATCTCATACATATGAAGAGGGAACAGAACACTACCAATCATTAGCTGGCTAAATTGTAAGGCTACCATTTCGTAACTGGTAGTATAGCATAGTGGCATTTATTCTTCTAAAACTTACTTTTCTCTCATCAGTTCCATAGTGGCTTGCACTCCATAATCTGCGTCTTTGCTTTGCAGACAGTTGAACTTCACTGCAGTCTGTGTCTTCTTCTCTGCTACCAAATTTGTCATCATCAGGCACATCCTAAAGAACCAAAAACAGTGCTAAATTAACAGTGCTAAATTAACTCTAGAATACGTATGACAAAAATTGCCTCACTTCTATTTTATCTTTTAAAAACAAGATTACTTTCTCAGGTGAGTAAGATAACCAGCTCACTAGCCATTAGGCTGTCTCAAAAGTTTATTTTTAAATTTTTTATTTGTTATGTTTACTAAGCCTATTCAATTTTTAGTCCATAGGGAGCAAATACAAACCTAATCATTCACAGCACATATTCAGCAGACTAACTTAAACTACATTACATAGATCATATCTTTAAAATATAAGCCAAAAATAATATAAATCAAATAACATAGCAGCCACATCCATTTCTGTGAGTGTAATGAAAGAAAAGAGGAGCATGTAATTAGCTTAGAATGGAGATCTGCTAAACTGTCAGCAGTATCATTAATCTTTTTTTTCAGTGCAGTTGCATGAATTAATGTTTTCATATTACTTATGTACATAAGTCCAGAAGGGGATGGAATGATATACATTTTTAAACTTTAGTGCACTAGGCACATACATTGTTTGCCTTTTCCCACTTCATTCAAATTTGAATTCATCACAAATAAGTCCAATGAAGTATTAATGACCATGTTATCTTCTCCCCATGTATGTTTGAGTGTATGCACCATGTGCAAGCAACCTCTCTGAGCTTGTGGGAACATCTAGCAATTTAAGAAACTGTTGTGGGCACTACTATAAAGAGTTGCCTGGAACACATCCTCTCAAAGAAGAAAGTAACTTCAAATTCACAAATTCTTTTGTGCAAACCCAAGTTAAGTATTGGCACAACTTGAAAGATAATAATAAAACAAGGTAACAAGGTGCTATCTTCTAAGTTCACTAATACAACCAAGAAAAGCTAGGGTCATGGTTAATATGCTATTCCTACCAACATTCTTTGAAACCTGGTGGATATGCCCGACCGCCCTTTGAGATCTGCGGGAGAGTCCCTTCTCCGGGAACCCTCCATGAAAGAAATTAGGAGAGTAAGTACCCGGAGGAGGGCTTTCTCTGCGGTGGCGCCCAACCTATGGAATTCACTCCCCAAAGAGGGCCGCCTGGCACCGTCGTTACTGGTTTTTCGGCGCCAGGTAAAGACCTTTTTATTTAAACATCATTTCAATTGTTAAAACATATGATCTGGCCTGGGCAACTTCTTCTTCCTTCTCTTTCTCCTCCTATATTTTTATTTTATACTGATAATTTTAATTTCGTATTTGTAAATCAATGTATTTTTTGTATT